ACCTGACATACAAAACCCTACTTATTGGGTTTCCGGGTCCTTTAATTTAAAGTGAGCCGTTCATCCTCGGCCCCGAGAGACAGCCCGAACAATTGGAGTTAAGCCGTGCGTGTTGCTAAACCCTGTCAGCCAGATCCCTAAACCCTAAACCCTAAACCCTAAGCCACCTTAAACCCTCTCGGGCAGATACCGAATCCCTAAACCCTGAACCCTAAATCCCTAAACCCCTAATCCCTAAACCCTAAACCCTAAACTGAACCTAAAAACATGGAACCCTAAATCCTAGCCGAATCTAGCCGGATCCCTATACCCTAGACCCTAAACCCTACTCTAAACAGACCCTACACCCTAGCCGAATCTGAAAACACGGAACCCCAAATTCCTTCTGAAGTCTGGGATGCCTCCGGATGTGAGCTCGAGGAGCCTCCGTAGCCGCAGTTCCTGAGCCCGTTTTTTTGGATAGTTTAGGGTTTAGGGTTTAGGATTTTGGGTTTAGGGGTTTAGGGTTTAGGGTTTAGGGGTTTAGGGTTTAGGGTTTAGGATTTAGGGTTTAGGGTTTATAGAGTTTAGGGTTTAGGATTNNTTAGGATTTTGGGTTTAGGGGTTTAGGGTTTAGGGTTTAGGGGTTTAGGGTTTAGGGTTTAGGATTTAGGGTTTAGGGTTTATAGAGTTTAGGGTTTAGGATTTAGGGTTTAGGGTTTCGGGTTCCAGGTTTAGGGTTTAGGGTTCAGGGTTTATAGGATTTAGGGATTTAGGGTTTCGGGTTCAGGGTTTAGGGTCTATAGGGTTTAGGGTTTATAGGGTTTAGGGGTTAGAGTTCAGGGCCAGGGTTTAGGGTTTAGGGTTCAGGGCTAGGGTTTAGGGTTTAGTGTTTAGGGTTTAGGGTTTAAAGTAGGGTTTAGGGTCTATAGGATTTAGGGTTTAGGGTCTAGGGCTTATAGGGTTTAGGGTTTAGGGTTTAGGGTCTAAGCTTCGGGGTTTAGGGTTTAGCGTCGGCCTTTGACGTAAGGTTCCAGCCCGATGGGCTTTTAAAAGCTTGTATGATTTGGGGTAGTTTAGGGTTTAGGGTTTAGGGTTTAGGATTTAGGGTTTAGGGTTTATAGGGTTTAGGGTCTATAGGGATTAGGGTTTAGGGTCTATAGGGTTTAGGGTTTAGGGTTTAGGGTTTAGGGGTTGGGGTTGAGGGATTAGGGTCTATAGGGTTTAGGTTTTTAGGGTTTAGGATTTAGGGTCTAGGCTTTGGGGTTTAGTGTTTAGGGTTTCGGGTTCAGGGTTTAGGGTTTAGGGTTCAGGGCTTATAGGATTTAGGGTTTAGGGTTTAGGATTTAGGGCTTAGGGCTTATAACGGCTAGGCATTGTAGGGGTCGGGGGTTTCGGATAAAGGGCTCAGGAGGGTTTACGATCCTTTCTCCTACAATC